CTCCAACAACAACATTATGACGAGATAAGATGTCGACGATCTGTCTCTCTTTGGGCGTCCCGCCTCTCACAACAGCTGATCTCGATCGGCTTCTACATGTGGGAGCAACGGAACTCCGTTCAACATTCGGATGATAACGTTCAATTACGTGAACGTCACAGTACTGTCAATGAGGGGATTCACTCACAGTTTGATATGGGTCCCGATGACTTGCCTAAGGAAATTCAACCGATGCTAACAAGCCGTCGACGAGTCCTTCGCAAGTCATTGGTAGACAAGGAAGAGTGGCTTAAGTTGCTTTGTCAGGAACGCAGAGATTTCCGTCGCTCCATGAAAGCACAACGCCGCAGTCTCCCCTGGACCCTGACCAACTTTTTGCGGGACCTTACATGCCCCAAATTCACCCCGCCACGTCGCGGGAGAAGTCTTTACCCCTTTGGGAAACTTGAGCAACTTCTGTTCAAAATACAGATGCCTCACATGGTTCAAACTTGTTGCTGACTCACCGCTTCACAGTACTTGACCTTTACAGCCGAATATTTCACCGGCAATCGAATGCCCACAGAGTAGCATATTAACGATTAATGTCTCAGTTATTATTATTCGCTTTCGGAGGTAGTGGTAGCGGGCATCCATGGACAAGCATCGGACAAGGCGCCCCCAAATACAGTGGAAAAGAAGTGGCCCACAAGACTCTCCTATCTGAAGAGAGTTGCTGGTACTACGACCTCAGCTCAGCTTCCCACCCTCTGGCACGAGCTAGCAAAGTGTAAGAAGCACGAATCAATTGGAATTGTGCAGTCCCTGCTGGACGATGAGGCCGAGAAACTGAACCTCAATCTGGAATTCATCGTTTCAGCCCGAGTAATCAAGAGCCTGGTGGAACTGGAATTTCGTTCGCGCGGCGACGTTGAAAAGGGTTTGAACGTGTTTAATAGTGTCTGTTTCCAGCACTACAAGAATGCAAACGCGATCAATGATTACAACAAGAGCGATTATTGGTTGACGGGCGAAAAGACGACCGCTTCAATGAAGGATCATCAAGCCCACGACAAGATCAAGCATGCTATCTTCCCAAAGGATCCCATGCAGTTCCGTGAGATGGTCAATGGTATGCGGGTATTCTACCGTGTAGTGTTTGGGAAAACTCATCCACTGACAGCCGTGTAAGAAAAGTTTGCAAAGAATGTGGATTCGATCGCACAAAAAATGGGAGTGTCCCAGCAGGAGCGAGCACTTGAGCGATTTCTCTTCGGAATCTATTCCCGAATTCATCGTTACTTTGAGCGTTTGGTAAGATCCGGCACAAGCGCAGAAGAAAAGCTACCCGACTTGGGCACCTACATGGAGACATGCTACCATGGAGGAAGCCTACCAGAGTCAAACTTGTTTGTCGTCGCCAAGGACTCTGTCGGACTTGGTGGAACAGGAGACAAGACTGAGAGTCAGCTGAAGAGAGAGAAGGTCCTCTCTCAAGCTGTCCTCCGCCCCTACAGCCGCCGTCGCCGATTGTTGCAGTCCCTCGGACCGTGGTCTGATTCGCTAGACCGATGGACCTGGCTCTTCTCTCGCACCGCTTTGATCCTCTTCCATCGGACGGACAACAACCTGGCAATCTACCGACCCATCAACTCGCGTTCCCATAAGACCTTCCGCAGGGATCTTCACCACACCTGGACGGGCACCCTTCCCGGGGACGTTCAAAGGGCATCAGTCAACCTTCACCCACGGACAGCCTACGTCACTGTCACGGGCACGGCCCCGGTAGATCCACCAGATCCGGAGTCCTTGCCAGCCTCGATCCTTCACATCTGGAGGGAATTGGCAGCCGATATGGACGACGATTGGGGATGGGTCCCGGAATACATCTACATTGAGCGTGACGAACAAGTCCTACTGGAGGCACTGGAGAAGGGAAAGCTACGGGTGATCAGCGATGGCTCCTTCAAGCAACAAGTGGGCACAGCCGCTGTCCAGCTACAAACTAGACGGGGAGGGCACGTCATCTGGATCAAGTGCCGTACACCTGGTAAACGAGAGGATCAGAGTGCGTACCGGAGTGAACTTACCGGTCTGTTAGCTGGTATCTTGGTGGCTTCTTGGCTCCGCCTACGCCTACAGTCCCTTGCCAAGCCGTCCGTGTGGCGTGTGATGGGATTGCCGCGCTTTGCCAGGCCTTCTCGACTTGGCCGCTGTCTCCAACCGCCCCACACTTTGATCTCTTGTCCTCCATCCGCGAGGCCCTCCGAGTTTCCAACATATCCTGGGCCGAACAACAAGTGGGCGGCCATGCTGACCGAACCAAGACATGGCGACAGATGTCTTGGTGGGAACGACGGAACTTGGAGGTGGACGACATTGCCCAGGGCTACGCCGACGAGCTGATTGCCACCGACGACACGATCGCCACCAACCCCAAGTTCTTCTCCAAACCCTGTGCGATCTACATCGACAACGAGAAGGTCTCCTGCCTGGCCTTGGAATCGGTCGACAAAGCCGTCATCCTGCCGGAATTGATGGAATACTGGGCAGCCAAAGGCCGCCTCGCTCCCGAACACTTCCAATCGGTGGACTGGCCGATAGTGCACCGAGCGATGAAGTCTCTGAAGCCCGCCGAACAGCGCTTCATCACAAAACACACCGTTGGTGTTAGAACAAAGCAAAATGTGCTCTATCGTGAGTGCTTTTAGCGCTCAGAACAAACTCTCTGCAATCTAAATTCGTAATCAACTGTACAACACTTTCACGACAATAGTTCTCCTGTGTCTAGGTATACTTTGAGT